GGTGAATGAGACACAAAAAATACAGAAGAAAATAACATCTTAAAAAACAGACTAGGCCAAATGGTAAAAGGAGTACAAAAAGCCATTAAGGAGAAGAATGCCGTAAAAAGCAGAATTGGCCAAATAGAAAAAAAAGGCACAAAAATTCACTGAAGAAAAAAAAACTTAAAAAAATTAAATTAAAAAAAAAAGAAAAAACTCCTTAAAAACTAGAACTGGCCCAATGGAAAAGGAGGTGAAGAAGATAATTTAATAAAATGAAGAAAGTAATTCCTTAAAAATTAGAATGGAGCAAATGTAAGCTAATGACTTTATGAGAAATCAAGAAACAATAAAGCAAAACCAAAAGAATGAAAAAAATAGAGCACAACGTGAAAAATCTCATTGGAAAAACAACTGACCTAGAAAATAGATCCAGGGACAGATAATTTTAAAATTGGACTACCTGAAAAGTCATGATCAAAAAAAGAGCCTAGATATTATTTTTCAAGCAATTGTCAAGGAAAATTGCCCTGATATTCTAGAACCAGAGGGTAAACTAGAAATTAAAAGAATCAACCAATCACCTCCTGAAAGAGATCCCAATAGGAAAACTCCTCAGAATATTATAGCCAAATTCCAGAACTCTCAGATCAAGGAGAAAATATTACAAGCCCCCAGAAAGAAACAATTCAAGTATCATGGAACCACAGTCAGGATAACACAAGATTTAGCAGCTTCTACATTAAAGGATTGCAGGGATTGGAATATGATATTCCAGAGAGTAAAGGAGCTAGGATTACAATTAAGAATCACTACTCAGCAAAATTGAATATAATCCTTCAAGGGAAAAATGGACATTCTATGAAATTTCGAGCATTCTTGATGAAAAGACCAGAGCTGAATAGAAAAATTGACTTTCAAATACAAGACTCAAGAGAAGTATAAAAAGGTCAACAGGAAAGGGAAATCATAAAGGACTTAATACAATTAAACTGCTTACATTCCTACATGGGAAGGTGATATTTGTAACTCATAAGAACTTTCTTACCATTAGGGCAGTTAGAAGGAGTATATATAAATAGAGGACACAGGTGTGAGTTGAATATGAAGGGATGTCATTTAAAAAAATTTTAATTAAGGGGGTGAGAGAGGAATATACTGGGAGAAATGGAAAGGGAGAGGTAGAATGGAATAAATTATCTCACGTAAAAGGAAGAAAAAGCCCTTACAGTGGAAGGAAAGAGAGGGAAGGTTAGGGGGAGTGAGTGAACTTTACTCTCATCAGAATTGGCTCAGAAAGGGAATAACATACATACTCAACTGGGTATAGAAATCTATCTTACCCTATAGGAAAGTAGGAGGGGAAGGGGATAAGGAAAGAGAGAAGTGATAGAAGGGAGGGCAGATTGGTGAAGAGGGGTAGTCAGAACCAAAACAGTTTTGAGGAGGGACAGGATGAAGAGAGGGAGAGAACAGAATAAATGAGGTGGGGGGGAATGGATGGAGGGAAATACATTTAGCAAAAGTAACTGTGAAAAATAATTTTGAAGCAAGTTTTGCTCTGATAAAGACCTCATTTCTCAAACATATAGAAAATTGAATCAAATTTATAAAAATGAGAGCCATTCCCTAATTGAAAAATGATTTTAAAAAATGAACAGTTTTCAGATGAAATAATCAAAGCTATCTATAGACATACAAAAAAATGCTCTAACTCACTACTGATTAGAGATATGCAAATCAAAACGATTCTGAGATACTACTTTATACTTATTAGATTGGCTATAGGACAGAAAAGGAAAATGACAAATGGTGGAGGGGATGTGGGGGAAAATGAGACATTAATGTACTATTGGTGGAGTTGTGAACTGATTCAACCATTTTGCAGAGCAATTTGGAATTATGCCCAAAGGGCTATAAAATCATGCATACGCTTTACCTAGCAAGACCACTACTAGGTCTATATCAAAACAGATAAAAAACAAAAAGGGAAACAATCTATATGTACAAAAATATTTATAGCAGCTCTTTTCTGGGGGCAAAGAATTGGAAACTGAGGAAATGCCCATCAACTGGGGAATGGAAGAACAAATTGTGGTATGTGATTATGATGGAATACTATTGTGCTATGAGAAATGATGAGCATGATGCTCTCAGAAAAACCTGGGGAGACTTACATGAGCTGATGCAAAGTGAAATGTATTGTGTACAAAGTAACAGCAGTGTTGTAAGATGATCAGCTGTAAATGACTTAGCTAGTCTCAGCAATACAATGATCCAAGACAACTCTGATAGACTTATGATGAAAAATGCTATCCATCCCCACAGAAAGAACTGATGGTATCTGAATACAGATTGAAGCATACTTTAAAAATTTTTCTTTATTTTTCTTGAGGGTTTTTTTTCCCTCTCTACATGTACTTTTAAAGGAATAATCTTACATGTACATATGCATCATAGATATGATTGATGATGATATTAGTAGGGAACAGGTAGGCTTTCATGAAGTAAAAATTCATATTAGACCACATCTTTACTATCACATAATTAACTGAAAGATGCAGTGTACACACAATCCCACTCTTAATATCACTAGATGATTATTAAAAAGCTTTTGTTTCCGTAGAGCAAGACACTTTAAAGTGTCTTTTCTTACAAAAAGATGCTTCTCATGAATATGTGAAAATTATGCAAAATCTCTTGAAAAAGATTAACACAAGATAATAGTTGCTTAAATGGAGACATCCTCTTAAACCTTCTTCAGCAAAAACTAAAATTCCCACTAGACTAAATAATGATCAAGAAATCCAATGAAAAACTATAGCAACTGACTTCTTCAACTCCAGAACTGCACAAAATACTACTTAGAAGACCCTGGGAGCAGTCAGCAAAGCCAGCATGAGTAAAAGTAAACACAACTACAACCTTCCAACGTGACCAGAGAAGAGCAAGAGGTACGCATAACCTGTAAAGCTCTGTACCAAGAAGCAGAAAGAGAGTTCCTTTGAGAAAGCTTCAGGGTGGCTAGAAATCCCTCAGGTGGGGACTTTGGAAGCCCTGTGGAACAGAAATTTTCAGACCAAAACACCCTAGAAACAGGGGCTCTAAGGTCTGACACTTTTTTCCACAGGTACCACAAAGATCCCTGAAGATCCAGAATTCTGAATCTCAAAGATGTAATGAAATCTTAACCTAGGTGGTATAGGTCAGTGCAAGAACACAGGTGAGGCAGGATGAGATCAAGCAGGGCCAAGCATTGTCTTCCCCACCCCACCCTATGTTACCCCGCAAAAAAAATATGAAAAGGGGCTACAGAACCCTGTCACAAAGTCCCAATTCAGGAAGTAATGCTAGAAAGATAAATAAAACGAAGAAGGTTCATTGAATAAACTCATAAGCATACTGGGGTACACTCATGGCTTACATTACCATTGGCCCTTCTTCATGTTAGTTAGTGCGCACCCAAGGGTAACTAATACAAGAACTAGAATCCTTTCTATAACATATCTAATATGCGACCATTCAACTTTTGCTTGAAGACCTTCATTGGGTAGGAACCCACTCTGTCCTAAGATAATCCCTTCTACTCAGGTGGAACACTAACTTTGCCTCTTACCTCTTTTAAATATAGCAATCATGTTTCCCTTAAGTCTTCTCAAGATATACATGACAGATGCTCACTTTTTCAATGGACCTTCATACCCCCCCCATATATACATATGTCATGATCTTGAAGTCTTTTACTATTCTTATTGCCCTTCAGTTTCCTTGCTAAATTTCCTAGATTTCAGCAAGGGTATGGAAGAGGATTTCTCTCCCCTCCCTTCTGCTATAGCAGCTATTAGCATATGGCATCAAGAACATTTGCTTGTCCACAGCCAATGACTGGACCCCACGTTCTTGGTTTCCTTGTATCTTTTGTCTTTTCTTTGTGAGCCCTGGCTATTAACCTGAGAAATGAATGCTTCTATCCCTAGCAGTTGCTTCATATGTTCAAGATATCAGGAGGTCCTAAGTCACTGTCAGTTGTCCACTAGGAGGTGTTTTTGGCCACTTCACTGCTTTGTGGAGGAGAAGACATCACCAGTAAGAAAAGCCACAAGAAGGATACTGAAGCTGAAATGACTAAAAAAATTCAAGCCAGAGCCTGGATTTCTCAGAGATCCAGACTTGTGAGCTGCACATGCAAGACAAGTGAAAGTTAAATAGTTGTTCATCGGTCCCACTAAAATACACATGACTTTAGGTAGTGTATAACAAATGATAGGCAATTATTTCATGTTTTAAGTATTTGTTAATGCATCTTTATGAGACTTTTGGGTTTTAAATATTTCCTTTGTGATAGAAGAAATAAACAGCTGCTCTATGCCTGAAATCTACTTTGTACCTTAGGTACCCCTTCTAGAAGAGACTTTCTTAGTATCTTTTAGGGAAAATCCTAGATATGAGTCAGCTTTGTTGCAGTTTTTTCCCCAGAACTCCAAGTTGGGAACATAATGAGCCAGAGAAAGAAATAAAGCCTATCTGTCCTATTCTGGGGTTGAGATCCCTGAAGACAGATCTTGGTTTGTACAGCCTTTTTTGAGAGACAGATCCCCTTGGGCCCTGGGTAACACAAATATATACAAAATAATTAGAAGCTAATTGGTGTTTAGCAAGCACATGAGTACCTTGGAGGATCAGAAAAACCTTTATGTAGAAGGTGGCATGAGACTTGAGTTTTGGAGAAAATGTGTGAGGAGGGGGAAGAATAAGAGATTTTAACAAATATAGGTAAAGGGGTCATGTGTTCAAGGAAAAGGGAACCATTGGGAAAGCACAGAAACAGGAGATGGAATATTGTGTGTGAAAAGCAATAAGAAGATCTAATCTGGATAGACTGCAGTGAACAAGAAGGGGAATAGTACATAACGAGGCTGGAAAGATAGTCTAGAGCTTAGCCATGAAGCAAATAGAACCAAGAGGACAACTTATACAATAACAGCAACCCTCAGCATAATGACCATCCATGATTCCAGAGAACTGATGATGAAACACATTAACCACTGCTTGCTGAGAGAGGTGATGCCCTCAGAGTACAGAATGAGATGTACTTATTTGGACATGACTAAGGTAGGAATTTTTCTATGTACTATATACATTTATTATAAGACTTTTAATAATAATAGCTAGTATTTATATAGAGCTTTAAGACTTATAAAGCACTTTTCAAATATTAATTTTATCTTTATAACAATCTGAGGAGTTAGATGCTACTATTATCTCTATTTTACAGATGAAGAAACTGAGGCAGACAAGACACTAAGCAACTTGCTCAGAGTCACATATCTAGAAAGTGTCTGAAGCTTGGATTTGAACTCAGGTCTTCCACTATACCATCTAGCTAACTTTTGTTTCTGTTTTTCTTTTTTCCCAAGTGGTTGGGGGGGGGAGAAAACTGATTTTTAATTGAAAATACATTTTAAAATAAAATAAAACTTTTTTCTTTTAAAGATGGAGTAGAGTTGGGAAAGACTTGAGGGAGAGAGACTAGTCAAGAGGCTACTCCAGGAGTATAGGTGAAAGGGCCTGATGATGGGTCTGAACTAGAGTGGTAGCTGTGAATAGAGAGGAGATTGATGTAAGAGATGTTGGGTAGGTATTGTTTTTTTAAAAAAAAATTTATTAATTTATTTTTAGTTTTCAACATTCACTTTCACAAGATTTTGAGTTCCAAATTTTCTCCTCATCTCATCCTTCCCCCCACCCCAAGATAGCATGCATTCTGTATACCCCTTCCTTTAATCTGCCCTCACTTCTATCTCTCCCTCTCTTCTCTAATCCCCTTTCCCTTCTATTTTCCTATAGGGCAGGATAGATTTCGATACCCCATTGTTTGTACTTTTTATTTCCCAGTTGTATGTGAAAACAATTAATTTTTTTAACATTTGTTTTTAAAACTTTGGGTTCCAAATTTCCTCCCTTCCTCCCTCCCCACCCATCCTCATTGAAAAGGCAAGCAACTTGATACAGGTTATACAGGTGTAGTCATGAAAAACACTTTCAAAGTAGTCATGTTGTACTTCTGCTTCCAGGAACCAGGATGGCAGAGTAAAAAGGTAGTTGCACTTACTCTCCCCTACAACCTCTGAAAACTCAGAAAATATCACCCCAGAAAAAAAAAAAACCCTGAAACAGCTGAACTAGAAGAAAGACGGGGAAAAGCAGTACAGCAACCCAGCAAATGAGTCTCCCAGTGCCTCAGCAAAAATAAGGGAAGCAGCACCAAAGGGCCCCAGGCGTATAAGCACCCTGCAGCATTCATCTGAAAAGATCTGAAGAAAGCAACCTAGAGTCTTCCTAAAGTCCCAGCTTTGCTGATTCCAACCCAACACCAGGTTAACTGTCAGAACCCTACAACCTCCAACTGTCAACCAGGACAAGATCCTGAAGCCCAGGTGGTAGAGCAGGCAAACACCAACACCTGGACCTCCAAGTGCCTCAGTGAGAGCAGAGAACCGGTGGAGACCAGATTAGAAAATCACCAGGTAACTCGGCACTCTACCGCAAAGGAATCTTCCAGTGCATTAGCAGAAATGAGGGAGACAGCATTGCAAGGGGCCCCAGGCACATAAACATCCTGCAGCACCCATCTAAAAGAAGCTGAAGAAAGCTAAAGGAAAGGAAAAGCAGGCAACCTAGAAATGCCTTAAAGTTCCAGCCTTACTGATTCCAGCCCAACACGAAGTAAGCTGTCAAAGACCCTGCAGCCTCCAATTGCCAACATAAGGGGCCCCAGCACACAAAGCCAGTGACCAAGACCTGGGCTCCCAACACAAGAAGCTTGGGTCAGTGCCCTCTGTTCCCTGGTAGGAGAGCTCAATCTCTTTAAAGGCCAGGGAATAAAGAAACCATTAGTAAAAAGACACATACCACAGATCAAGACAGAAATTCTGAAGAGGACAACATTGTCGACAAACCCACATCTGCAACATCGAAAGGGAATATGAACTGGTCTGAAGCCCAAAAAGCCTTCTTAGAAGAGCTCAAGAAGGATTTTAAAAGTCTAATGAGAGAGGTAGAAGAGTCCTTAAAAAATACAATTGGCCAATTGGGAAAAAAGTACACTGAAGAAAACAAGTCTCTAAAAATCACAATTGGCAAACTGGAATAAAAAGTACACTGAAGAAAACAAATCCCTTAAAAATACAATTGGCCAATTGAAGAAGGAAGTACAAAAACTAACAGAAGAAAACAATCTGTTAAAAACTAGAATTGGACAAATGAAAACTAATGACTCTATGAGAGAGCAAGAATCAGTCAAACAGAAACAAAAAAATGAAAAAATAGATGAAAACATAAAATACCTCATCGGTAAAACAACCGACCTGGAAAATTGATCAAGGAGAGACAGTTTAAAAATCATTGGGCTATGTGAAAAACATGATGAAAAAAAGAGCCTGGACACTATCTTTCAGGAAATCATAAAGGAAAACTGCCCAGAAATCCTAGAACCAGAAGAAAGAATACATCCCTCACCACCTGAAAGAGATCCCTAATTGACAATACCAAAGAATATAATAGCAAAATTCCAAAATTGCCAGATGAAAGAGAAAGTGCTGCAAGCAGCCAGAAAGAAACAATTTAAATATCATAGAACCACAGTCAGGATTACACAGGATCTTGCAGCTTCTACATTAAAAGATCACAGGGCTTGGAACATGATATTCCTTTAAGGCAAAGGAACTTGGATTGCAACTACCCTGCAAAAATGAATATGATTTTTCAAGAAAGGAGATGGATATTCAACAAAATAGAGGACTTCCAAACCTTCCTGATAAAAAGACCAGAGCTCAACAAAAAAATTGATCTTCAAGTACAAGATTCAAGAAAGACATAAAAAGGTAAATGGGACAGAAAGATACAAAATGTTGTTAATAAGGTCAGACTGTTTACATCCCTACAAGGGAAGATGACACTTACAACTCTTGAGAACTTGTTATTACACCATGTTAAAGGAGTATACATAAAGGGGGTGGATATTAGCTGACTTTGATGTAATGATTAAAAAAAAATCTAATCACGTGGGTTAAATGGATCCAAGTAAGTGGATTAGTCTGATCTTAGATAATGTACTGAGAAAGGAGGAGGCAGACAAGGGTAAATTACATTACAGGAAAAGACAGAAAATCCCATTACAGCAGAGGGAAAGAAGGGGGGGGTGAGCATTGTTTGAACCTTAATCTCATCAGATTTGGCTCAAGAAGGGAATAACATAATCAGTTAGGTATAGAAATCAAACTTTCCCTATGGGCAGTAGGAGGGAAAAGGGGAAAGAAAAGGGAGGGGGGATAGAAGGGAAGGAAGAAGCAGTAAGAGCAAAGGGGAAGAAAAGGGAAAGGAGTAATAGAAGGGAGAAGTGACTGAAGGAGGCGGTGGTCAAAAGCAAAACACTAGTGAGGGGGGAAAGGAGAAAGGTGAAAGAAAAGCATAAATGGGGGAAAAGGATAGAGAAAAAGACACAGATAGTAATCATAACTGTGAAAGTTGAATTGCTATCTTTTTTTTTCTCTTCTGTTGAGTTTTGTGTCCTCTTTCTGATGGTTCCTCCTATTGGTTTTAATTTTTACTTACAATTTCACTAATGTGAAAATATGTTTAATAGGAATGTAAATGTATAGCCTATATCAGATTGTGTGCCGTCTTGGGGAGGGTTGTGGGGAGGAAGGAGGAGAAAAATTTTAAACTCAAAAGCATATGGAAGTGATTGTTGATAAATCAAAAAAAAATTAATAAAATAAATTTTAAAAAAACCCAAGTAGTCATGTTGTGAAAAACTAAGTATATTTCCCTTCATCCTATCCTGCCCCCCCATTTATTCTGTTCTCTCTTTTGACCCTGTCTCTCCTCAGAAGTGTTTGCTTCTGATTACCTCCTCCCCCAATCCACCCTCCCCTCTATCATCCACCTGCTCTCTTGTCCCCTTCCTCCCCTATTTTCCTGTAGGGTAAGATATTTTCATACCCAATTGAGTGTGTATGTTACTGCTCCTCAAGCCAAACCCTATGAGAATAAGATTCACTCATTTCCTCTCACCTTCCCCCGTTTCCCCTCCACTGTATAAGCCTTTTCTTTTCTGTTTCATGTGAGATAATTTACCCCACTCTACCTCTCTCTTTCTCCTTCTCCCAGTATAATTCTTTCTCACCCCTTAATTTTATTCTCCAGATATCACCCATTCATCTTCAATTCACCCTTTGCCCTCTCTCTCTCTCTCTCTCTCTCTCTCTCTCTCTCTCTCTCTCTCTCTCTCTCTCTCCATACATATGTTTTCCCTTCAACTACCCTAATACTGACAAAGGTCTCGTGAGTTACAAATATCATCTTTCCATGCAGGAATGTAAACGGTTCAACCTTACTAAGTCTCTTATGATTTCTCTTTCTTGTTTACCTCTTCATGTTCCACTTGAGACTTGTATTTGAAAGTCAAATTTTCTATTCAGCTCTGGTCTTTTCAGCAAGAATGCTTGAAAGTCTCCTATTTCACTGCATGACCATTTTTATGGATTATACTCAGTTTTGCTGGGTAGGTGATTCTTGGTTGTAATCCTATCTCCTTTGCCCTCCAGAATATTACATTCCATGCCCTGTGGTTCTTTAATGTAGAAGCTGCTAAATCTTGTGTTATCCTGATTGTGTTTCCACAGTACTTGAATTGTTTCCTTCTGGCGGCTTGTAATATTTTCTCCTTGACCTGGGAACTCTGGAATTTGGCTACAATATTCCTAGGAGTTTTCCTTTGGGGATCTCTTTCAGGAGGAGATCTGTGGATTCTTTCAATTTCTCTTTTGCCCTCTGGTTCTAATATATCAGGGCAGTTTACCTTGATAATTTTTTGAAAGATGATGTCTAGGCTCTTTTTTTTTTATCATGGTTTTCAGATAGTCCAATAATTTTTATATTCTCTCTCCTGGATCTATTTTCCAGGTCAGTTGTTTTTCCAATGAGATATTTCACATTGTCTTCTATTTTTTCATTCTTTTGGATTTGTTTTACAGTGTCTTGATTTCTCATAAAGTTACTAGCTTCCAATTGCTCCATTTTAATTTTTAAGGAAATATTTTCTTCAGTAAGCTTTTGGATTTCCTTTTCCATTTGGCCAATTTTTCTTTTTAGGGCATTCTTCTCCTCATTGGCTTTTTGGACCTCTTTTGCCATTTGGGTTAGGCTATTTTTTAAGGTGTTATTTTTTTCAGTATTGGAGGGGGTCTCCTTTAGCAAGCTGCTGACTTGTTTTTCATGATTTTCTTGCATCACTCTCATTTCTCTTCCCAGTTTTTCCTCTGCTTCTCTTACTTGCTTCTCAAAATCCTTTTTGAGCTCTTCCATGGCTTGGGACTGATTCATATTTTTCTTGGAGGCTTTGGGTGTAAGAGCTTTGACTTTGTTGTCTTCTTCTGGTTGTATGTTTTGATCTTCTTTGTCACCAAAACAAGATTCTATGATCTGACAATTTTTGTGTTGTTTGCTCATGATCCCAGCCAAGTATTTGAGTTTTAAACTCTTTGTTAATGTAGGGGTCTGCTTCCAATGTGGAGAATCTACTGTCCCAAGCTTTAGGAGTTTTGTGCAGCTGTTTTCAGAGATACTTCTATGGACCTGTAAATTTTCAGTTCTTCCAAGGTGCTATGATCAAAAGGGCGAGGTATTTATTCCTTTCCTGGCCTGTGCTCTGGTCTATGAGTGACCACAAGCACTCTTTTCTGTCTTGGAACTGTGAGGAGGATTTCCTCTAAATCACCACTACAAGCTCCACTACTCCAGTGCTTCTCCTCTCCCTAGTACTGCCACCCAGAACTGTGACCCAGATCCAAGCATTAGCAAAGCAAGAAAATTCTGCACCAGCAGAGAGATCCCTGCAATCCCTCTCTGATTAGCCACCTAATTCCCCTCAGTCTTTGGGCCAGAAGCTCCAGAGGCAGCTGCCACACGAAGACACAGACTTTTCCTACCGTGATTCAGTCCTCTGAGGCCCTCTCCAGGTTTGTTGTGGCCTGCACGCCCACACAGAACTGCGGTTCCTCTCCCAGCCTAGCACGATATACCTTTCTGATCAATCATCCAGGTTG